TTGAGAGAACAGCTCTGAGAGAACTGTGACTGACCCAAGGTCACACCAGCAGCTGCATGGGGAGGAATGGGGAATCAAAGATGGTTCTCCAGATTAGAGTCCGTGCTCTTAACCACACCAGACTGGCTCTCTGTGCCAGTGTGCATGTACATGAAAGCTTATTCCCAGAATAAAACTTTGTTGGTCTTAAAAGTGCCACTGGACTGAAGTGTGCATGCACATGAAAGCTTATACCCAGAATAATATTTTGTTGGTCTTAAAGGTTGCCACTGGACTGAAGTGTGCATGCACATGAGAGTTTATTCCCAGAATAATAATAATAATAATAATAATAATAATAATAATAATAATAATAATAATAATAATAATAATAATAATAATAATAATAATAATAATAATAATAATAATAATAATAATTTGTTATGAGGGCCGGATCTGACATAAATGAGACTTTGTTGGGTCAGGCCATGTGTGTCATTGAATGTAATGCCAGGTAGTGGAGATATAAACTTTATAAAGGACACAAACACAAATGGGTTTTTTTTAACTTAAAATAAAACATGCTTAAAACATCAGCACTCTTGCAGTATTTTGTTTATTTAACAGTGTCTGATAACTGAGACCTCTTGCTCTGAATTATTGCATCAAAATGTCTGTGCTGTTGCAATTTCGAGTATGCTGTTCAGGTGTGTATCTGTAAGCTGCAAACCTAAAATGACGCAGCAGCAGCAGAACTGAATCATAGAATGTTAAGAGTTGGAAGGTACCTTGCAGGTCATCTAGTCCAACCTCCTGCACTCTGCAGGAGCATAGCCAAAAGATAGCCCTACATACCTACAACATACCTGAAAGATGGTAATCCAGCCTCCGCTTGAAAACGTCCAGTGAAGGAGCATCCACCACCTCCCGAGGCAGACTGTTCCACTGCTCAACCACTCTTACAGTTAGGAAGTTGCTCCTGATATTTAGCCGGTAACGACTCCCTTGTAATTTCCACCCATTAGACCTAGTCTTGCAATGCAGAGCAAGAGAGAATAAATCTGCTCCATCTTCTACATGGCAGCCCTTCAAATACTTGAAGACTGCAATCATGTCCTCTCTAAGCCTTCTCTTTCCCAGGCTAAACAGGCCCATCTCTTTCAGCCTTTCCTCGTAAGACTTGGATTCCAACCCTCTCACCAGCCTGGTCGCCCTCTTCTGGACACGCTCTAGCTTGTCAACATCCTTCCTAAAATGTGGAAGAAGAAGCAGAAGAAAGCCAGTTCTACTGTGAGCCTGATAGAAGCCCTCTGGGGGCCTGATCCCCCAAGGTCTAGACCCATTTGCATTTGTATGAAGGTGGGCTGAAGTACAAGCAAACTGACTTCCACCTCTGCCTAGGGGGGAAAACCCCCCTATTAAAATGCCAAGTGGAGGCTTTGCTCCTTGCCAACCTCCCAGGAGAAACACATTTTTTCACAGGAGCAACTAAACTTTGTCTAGTGCAGGTACCTAGAAGAGATGAGGGCATTTGTGAAAGAAAATGTGAGTTAATAAAAGTGCAGGAGGGAAAGTAAAATGGTTCACATTTAAGACCAGAGGTCATTTCCTGCAGGAGCACACAGGAGCGGAGCTCCAGCAGTAAAAAGCCCAGGGGGCGGACACACGCAATAAGCCCCACCCCCTTCTCCCAGCAGCCCTCAGTCAGAGCAAGAAGCAGCCAGGTAAGTTGCAGAGCCCCCTCTGGTCCCATGGTCCAAAACAGTCCAGTGGCACCTTTAAGACCAAGTTTTATTCAGGTACAAGCTCTCCCTCCTCTGTGAGGACAGATCTGCACATCCCCCCTCCCAATAGCTAGCAATCCAAAAGAGTCCAGTGGAGCCTGAGCGGTGGGTGTTGCCTTCTGACACACTTCTGGTGATGTCAGGGGGTGTGGCATATGCAAATAAGTTATGGTAATGAGTTATGCTAATGAGCTCCTGCACCTCTTTTTCATATGAAATGACCCCTGTTTAAGACTACATAAAAAACACATATGCATACAGGATGACTTCTTACAGCTTATACCTTGTGGGGATGGGCTGTGACTTGGAGGTAGACACATGACTTTTTGAAAATCAAGACACGGCTGGTGTGAGAAGGGTCAGCTTTCCTGCACAGTTTTGGGCCAATGTGTTGTCAGAAGAAAAAAATACAGGAATGTATCCTTAAAAAAAACAACAACCTAGTGTTCAGAAAACAAGACAAAGAGGGGTTGGGGGGGATCCTTTTTGTCTCATTTTTTAATCACTAGTGTAGTATCTCGGGGGGAAAGTGGCATTGTATAGCCCGGGGTGTCAAACATGCGACCCGGGGCCAGACCAGGCCCCCGGAGGGCTTCTCTCAGGCCCGCAGTGGAACTGGCTGTCTTCTTCTTCTTCTTCCAGTTCTGCTGCTGCTGCGTCATCGTAGGTTTGCAGCTTACAGATACACACCTGAACAGCATACTCAGGATTGCAACAGCACAGACATTTTGCAGCAATAATTCAGAGCAAGAGGTGTCCGTTATCAGACACTGCTCAATAAACAAAATATTGCAAGAGTGCTAATGTTTTAAGCATGTTTTTATTTTAAGTAAAAAAAAACCCTTTGTGTTTGTGTCTTTTATAAAGTTTATATCTCCTCTACTTGGCGTTACATTTTATGACACACATGGCCCGGCCCAACAAGGTCTCAATTATGTCAGGTACAGCCCATCTCATCAGCTCTCGGAAGCTAAGCAGGTCTGTACTTGGATGGGAGACCACCAAGGAAGACTTCGCAAAGGAAGGCGAGAGCAGACCACCTCTGCTTGTCTCTTGCCTTGAAAACCCCCATGAGTCACCAGGAGTTGGTTGCGACTTGATGACACACAATTATTATGAGCCCCCCTGACCGGCATGATCCAGGCTGGTCTGATGTAGAGATGTAAAATTTCTGGAAATTTTGAAGCTCTGAAAAAAACCCGGGTTTTTCCCAGTTTTTTTTTAAAAAAACGGAAATTTTTTGAAAAATTGAAAAAAATGCTACATTAGCATTTCTTTTGTCTTTTCCAGATTGAAAGTCATTCTGTTACTTTAGGAACATAAAATATGACTATGGACATTTTTACTTGGCATGAAATTATCACAACTAGCCTATTAAAAATATAGTGTATCCAAACAATTATTACAAACAGAATACCCACCCACATGCAAAAACAAAACCGAAACCTTTTTATTTTCTTCTGACAATCGCACCTCCTA